CTTTCCCTCTGGGGTGGCCAGTTCACTACTTTTAAGTTCATAAACAATTGTCTTATTGGGGCTTCCTGTGAGATCCTTGAAGTAAGTGTGAAGAATTTTAAAAGTGTCAAAATAGAACAACAAACCAGATAGGAAATTGAAAGAAAATAAATTTCACACGTTTCTGGAGGAAAATGATCTGTTTGTTTCAGTTGAGTAATTAATTTGGTATTAACGTTTTGAGAAAAATAGTATAGCTGTCGATGTGAGGAGAACACTGTGCTCCTGCCTCTGGATAGTTTCCACATATGCTCCTTTTCAGCTTGTCATCCTTGTGTGTATAAACCCTGCCAAGTTCTTTCTAGAACATAGTAATTTCAGTGACTATTTTTATATTCATATAAGCTTTCTTTGATATATGGCAAACTTACACTGTGAAATGCAGTCGATTTAATGAGAACAGGAGGTATTTCCGCTCAGGATATTCCCCTTTTCTAACCCCAAACTTTCCACCTTTATTCCATCCTTTGTGTATCTGCCCACATACTCTCCATTCCCACAGCACACACCCAACACTTTCCGCCCCCAGCCCATCCTGACTCATGTGTACTTTCAGGTATACTTCATGCCCATCATATGATGGGTCTAGAACTTTCCACACATGTGATTCCCCATGTGTGTCTGCACACTGACTCCATCCCCACTACACAACTCTATCCCCACAGCACCATCTGTCTAGCATTTTCCATCCCTCTACCCCTCCTCCACCCCACATATACCTCCAGGTGCTCTCTTTTCATCCCATAAGATGAGTCTAACATTTCATCCTGCATAAATCACTCTCTTGTTCTTGCATCTTGAATATGTTGATTTTGGTTAAGAAGAAGAAGTTATTTGTGCCCTCAAATGCACCATTGGGATAGTTGGATCATGAGAGTTTAGAACTTGTAGTTACTTGGATGGACGCCATAGAAGTTACATATACACGGCCATGTGAATGGGCTTGGTCAAATAATAATATAAACCAAATTTCAAAGAGGAATGTTACCGTAAATATTTTAGCAGCAGTTTAACCCAAAGAGTTTAAGAATTGATGATCTCTTCTGTTCATTAAAGCAGAGCTGCCCTAGACTTTGACTTGGCAATATTCTTTTAAAAGCTGTTTGTTTAATTCAATACTCCAAAGTACTTGAAAGCAATATAACCTCACGACGCCCTTTATTCTTTATGTAATTGTGTTCTTGCTGTTCCAGACTTTTCTTCTGAATAAGTTGGAATCATTGACATTTTGCTTGATCTTATTCTTACTGTAGTGTTGTGTTTTCTTTAGGGTTTCTGGGAAAGCCAGATGGAGCTCAGAAAACTATACGGACCACTGTGTGGGTAAGAAGAAAATTCAATTTTTCTGCTATATGTGTTGATTTTTGTGCATTGATTGATCCGATATAGAAGCACTAACAAGAATGGGAAGGTCGCATGTGTTTATTTCTTTGAGGGCCCACAGGAAGATGACTTGTAGTTCTGAAAGGGTTCCTCCAGAAGACCCCCCAGGATTGCCCGAGGAGGCACTGGGCCAGCTCTCAGTGTGCTACTTCCCAGGCTGAAAATCTTTCTGGTCTGGGTGTTTTATTTTCTCTCACCACTGTGTGAAAGGGTGTGCTGCACTGGGGCCTGGTAGCTGTCCATGCTTCAAAGTGCAAACAATCCAACTTGCCTTGACAGCCCATGGCAGGTCTTTCCCCTCAGCTAAACCTTACTTGGACCTGTGTGGTTTAACTCTGTAGTTAAAGTGTGCTGCCCACAGTATGACCATATAACTTATCATCCAATATAGCGCCTTTTAACAGGAAGTGCTATCAACGATTACTCCAGGATGACAGTGTAGACTAGATATCCTGGGTCATCTACGGCCGCCCAAGTTCTCCTTCGTGTAAAGTAATATAGCCCTTTCCTTTATTTTTTTCCTGAGTTTCCCATTTTTATGCTTAGAATATGTTCCTTTGTTACTAAAATTCCAGCATCTGGTGGATGAACCCATGTTCAGACCGTTTACTCTCTCCAAGATTTAGCGGACTTGAATTGTACTGAACCTCGACATCAATCTTTCCACATCGGAGTCCTAATCATTTGAGTCTGTTTGCACACAGCTTCTCCTCAGCCACTGGGTGATTTTTGACATTTCTTTTCTGGACCTCCAGGCCGTGGGAACATCTAAAGGGGCAGTACAGTTCTGTGGTGTTGCAGATGGACATCCTAGTGGCGTCCAGGGCTTCATGAGCCCTGTGTCCAATGTTTGTTCTCCGAGTGCTCATTTTTAGAAGGAGTTGGCTGTACTCTTTGTGGAAATGGCCTTGCCCTGGAGACCCATAGTTGTGGCCAGATTCTTCTATGTATTCTTTGGTTTGAAGAGAAATTAATACATTGAGATGATATACTATTAGGTTGTAGAGAAAGTCATGACGTATTTTTCTGTTTTTCTATGCAAAAATGTGTCATGACTTTCCAGACAACCCAATAGACACTGTCTATATTAGTGTGTCACTACAGCATAACAAGCTATACTCACCCTCACTGACTTAATTTATTGATAATCGTGCACCTAAGGGTTGGCTGGAGTAGGCAGGCCGGCCTAAGCTACTCTTAGCTAGAAAGCTCTGTTGGATTTCCTGTGCGCTTGTCGGGGAGGGGGCACATCTAAGAAGCTCTGCTTTGCTGTCTCTCATCCTCCTTGGAAGAGCCTGCTAACCAGGGCAGCTCTTCTCAAGGTTAAAGCAAAGACTCAAGAGAGCCCTCCCAATGGCATAGGAACATTTAAGTCTCTGTTGCATCATGTCTGCAAATATCCCATTGGTCACACCGCACTACATGGCCGAATGCCTAATCAGGGCAGAAGGCACACTGTGGTCACTGTGAAATGAAAGCAAGTCATTTGCTGACAGTGTCAGTGAAACTCCCTAACATTGATGGTACAGGGAGTCTACTCCTCTGAGGGAGGGGAAGACATATTTTAAAATAATAAGATTGTCTACCCACTCTCTAAGATTTCTTTGAACTTGGCCTTTACTTTTTCTTTTAGTGCATAGCTTTCGCTTCAAGCTTGGTAGGCACTCAGTAAAGGCTCAAGGGACTGGACATTGACTGCTCTCTTACTCTTGTGCTGTTCTATTGCCTTCTAAAAGTTTCCCTTCCATTTCTCCCTTTCCAGTTTTGCAGCTGACTTGAGACCGACCTTGGAGACTGTCTCACATGTCTCTGAGACACAGCACTGACTCAGGATGACGGTGACTTCACTAGAATTAGAAAACATCTTCTCTGAGTATGAGTTCTAGGAATCTCTTCCCTGAGTACTTCTTGTACAAATTTCCAGAGTAGAGCCCTTGAGTATTTTAAAATAATTATAAAATGTCAGATGGAGAGTTTAAAGGGCACTGTATTAACTAGTGTGTTGGGGGGGAGGGGGAGTTGAGAGGTGAAGAGAATGGTTTCCTTGACAACAAGCTGTCCAATCAACTTTTCCTCCCCAACTTTAACTAAGTTAACACGATTTGTCCTTTTCATTTCGAGGAAACTTAAATCATAGAGAATGGTTTCAAATAAGGTTGTAGAGATCAAAATTGCAGTATCCTCTTTGTTCCCATCTCTGATAAAAAGGGAAAAAAGAACAGTGATGATATAATTTCTTCATACAAAACTATCAATGTTTTCTACTTAAAAATAAAAATGCAGACTTCTTTTCAAAGTCCACTCCTGGATTTAGAGGCAGTATGATGGTGGAGTAAAAAGGGAAAGGATTGAACTAGTCTATACCTAAGACCCTTTCTAATTAAAAATATTTTCTTACTGCTTAAATTTTGCAAAGTAGCTTCACCAATTTGGGAATGTCAAAGATGAATTCTGTAAACTGGACAATGAAGACATTTCTTTTAGGAAACAATTTGGTTTAATTCCATTAATTTCAGACAAGTTTATTATTAAGAAATATAACGAATCCCAACTTAGTCCACATAAAAACTGAAATAATAGACTAAATCTTCTGGGCCAGCGGGTGACATGGTGCTTAAGGCGGCTGGGCTACCACATTGCTGACCACAGTTCGAGTCCCAGATCCGGTGACTTGCTTTCTCTCTTTCTCTTTTTTTCTCTCTTGTCAGCTTCATAAATAAATAAATAAATTAAATAAATAAATAAAATAGTGACAATGAATACAATTAAATAATTCTTAAAAAAAATAGATTGAACTTTTATTTGACAGAGGGAGCCCCCACCATCAGTGCCAAATAGAGAAGCATTGGCCCTTAGGCGCCAGCACTGTGTGGCCTCTCAGTAGAGATGTTATTGGGCCTGAGAGACGAACGCAATAACTCTGTGTGCCTGTCATCTGAAAGTCTTCATTGCCACTCAGAGATTAAGGCCCATACTTACAAAATGACTTCCAAGGCCAGCAGGTGGCATGGTGGTTAAGGTTCCGGACTCCCACGTAGTTGGCTGTGGTTTGAGTCATGGACCTGGGGACTTGAATCACACCAGGCAGCCCGTGTGGGTGTGTGTGTGTGGGTGTGTGTGT